TCCAAAACATAACTGTGATACCCGTATCAATTAAATCACCATCGAAATTCTCTGATCACACAAGCCCAAGAATAAAAGTTACCGTCAGCTGGACGAGGGTCTCGCCACCCAGAAACGTAGACAGGAAGATGGCGCCACATCATCTCTGCACTATGGTGAGGCTGTTTTCAGCCTTGTTGACATTTCTCAAACATTGAATTCCTGCATAAATGATTTTAAAAAACCTGTTTCGGGGCGAAAACAACACAAGAAGAAAACAGGATGTTGCCAGTTATGAATCAATGAAGTGTTCCCGTGGGCCAATCATAATATTAACTTTTCCCAGTCACTCGATCACACATACATGTTATTTGACAACACACCTATCCTCAATTTATGTATCAATAATAATTGTATGTTGAAAGAGCATGTTCTCACATAGATGCCTTATCCACTAGACCTCGGGGGCGGTCTTTGAATCAAGAAGATGAAAAGGATTTGTTGGAGAAGAAATGGTGCAATGCCAATTTCAGTTGCCAGCTTATCTCAATGTACCCTAGGTCTGGTAACCATGGTGTCCGTTCCTCCCTCTTTGTGAGTGAGTGAGTGAGTATAGTTTAACACCGCTTTTAAGCAATATTCCAGCAATATCATGGCGGGAGACACCAGAGATGGGCTTCAAACATTGTTCGGGAATCGAACCCGGGTCTTCGGCGTAAAAGCGAACGCTTTAACCACAAGGCTACCCGATCACCCTTTCCTCCCTCTATGTAATTCCTGCCCTGGGATATTATCTGAGCTAAAAAAACTACACTTTTGAAATATGAGAGGAAAAGGGGAATAATCAATGTCTTTATTCATCAAATAAATACATGTGTTAAGAAAAGCAATGCTTTGCAAGACAGTTACATATACACACGTAAGCATATCTCACTGTACACAGGTAATAAAATAAACAACTGTACTATAAATAACAATAAAACAATCAAATCTGCACAATTCACATTAAAACTTCACAGAGTACAGTAAGGCAAGTTATACATTGATGCCCAACAACAATGTTGATCATTATTTCACTGCCCGACTGTAGAATGAAGGCCACATTTTTTACACATAAAATCAAGTGGTGATATTAGAGTGCATTTTCATGAAATTAAGCACATATATGAGGTATTGCATTTACACAAATTATTTTTGTGTTTTCAATTGCTATCATAACCATTTTTGCGATAAAATTGACTGGAAGTGGTATTGCATTTACATGACATACACCTGATATCTTTGATTGCTATGATAACAAGCAAGATTTTCTCACTTCAAAACATATTTTCTTTGGGGAAACTTGCCACCATTGTTGCATTCATTTGGCTTTCAATTTCAAAAGATAACAATTAGTTTTCATCAGTGTAGAACAGAAGTTCACCTCTCCTCTACACCAGTTTAAGTCAATCAAGCCATACACACACTGATACTGTTATAGGTAGGGTCTGAAACAATGATTCTGCTTCTCTTCAATAACTGTATTACAATCAGAACAAATTTGACACTTGAAATTGCACCAATGACAAGAGCAGATCCAGTGAGGAGCAAAGGGAGACAATTCTGGACACACCCTACATGGAATGTGGGGATCTTGAGCGAACATCCTTGATGTTCACAGACCGTAATCCAAATCTAACTCCTCACATAATCATGGGACACACTTGAGGGTCTTTTGCAAGCAACCCACATGTTCCCTGTTTGGATAACCATATCAGCATAACATCTTTAGTGATCAAAATCAAAAGATATCAATCATAATTTCCTCCTTCAAGGTTGTTAACAAGTAATTGCACTCAATACAGTTTGTCATATGTGACAGAACTTCATACACTGTCACACTGTTTTAATGGGGATCTCGACAGCAGGGTCTGGACTTCAGTTTGTTTGTTTGTTAGTTGTTTAATGCCGCACTCAGCAATATTCCAGCTATATGACGGCGGTCTGTAAATAATCGAGTCTGGACCAGACAATCCAGTGATTGACAACAAGAGCATCGATCCATGTAATTGGGATACGATGACATGCATCAACCAAGTCAGCGAATCTGACCACCCGATCCCATTAGTCGCCTCTTAGGACAAGCATAGTCGCCTTTTACGGCAAGTATGGGTTGCTGAGGACCTATTCTACCCCAGATCTTCAGTGTATGTCTAAATTCAACTGTATTCAAAGCCTTATGTGAAAGAAAGCGTCATGCCTCACTGAAACTTTCTGTGACTGCAAATATGTCCAAGGAAAAACCCTCTGGAAACCTACCTTGGCTTATCTGACTGCTCCCTCTGAATCCATGTACTTGTACTCACTGTGGGAATTCAGGCCAAACTGATGAAAGACCGGACATGAGGCCTACCCACACCTCACAACATGTAAACCTTGCTGAATATATACTATTGTTAATCTGTTATGCCATGGTCACATGAATAAACTGAGTGACCTTCAAATTCTTTTGAGTAATAAATGTATAACACTACACATTCATCTCAACATAATAGTTGGCTATTAAGTATTAAGTAATAAATATATAACGCTAAACATTCATCTCAACATAATAGTTGGCTATTAAGTATTGAGTAGTATGTATAACACTTCACATTCATCTCAACATAATAGCTGGCTATTAAGTATTAAGTAATAAATATATAACGCTAAACATTCATCTCAACATAATAGTTGGCTATTAAGTATTGAGTAGTATGTATAACACTATACATTCATCTTAACATAATAGCTGGCTATTAAGTATTGAGTAATAAATGTATAACACTACACATTCATCTCAACATAATAGTTGCTATTAAGTATTGAGTAGTATGTATAACACTATACATTCATCTTAACATAATAGCTGGCTATTAAGTATTGAGTAATAAATGTATAACACTACACATTCATCTCAACATAATAGTTGGCTATTAAGTATTGAGTAGTATGTATAACACTATACATTCATCTTAACATAATAGCTGGCTATTAAGTATTGAGTAATAAATGTATAACACTACACATTCATCTCAACATAATAGTTGCTATTAAGTATTTAAGGCAACTTCTTTCATGCTGACAGGAATAATGGCGCTTTCAGTAACCAAGGCAACATAATGCAATGGTCAACGTATGAGTGAGTTTGGTTTATTGTTGCTTTGAATTACAGCGTGTCAGCTTACTGTGGGAGGCATTACACAAGTGATGCATGACTTAAGACATTTACAACTTTGGTGAAAGCACCATGCATAGGAGCTGACAAACCTTGAAACACAATCATGGGATTCTGGTGCATCTAAGGGATGGAACTCTGCATAACAGATTCAAGTACGAAAAAGGGCCATACACCTTAATGGTCAATAAACAGTCCTGAGCATCAATAAACAGTCATGACAATTGATGTAACCCAGGGAATGCATGATGGTTGATAATGTACAAATAATTTGAAGACCTTATTACCTCAATAAACATATCTGTTAACAGTGGATACTGTACCAGTAACCTGCATCATGGCTGCCCCAAATCTGGCACATGTATATATGGCATGCAGAGGTTCTTACCAGTTACTACGGCAACCGGTTACACCTGGATACATAAAACAGAGATAAACCATATCCTGAGAACCCGGTTCAATTGACACTGTGAGCAATCAAGCAACATCAACACATGATTGAGACAAGGACTATCTGTATGACCTGAACAAACAAATTATGTATGTATATATCTCTCTTCTTCTCCCTCTCTTCCTTCTCCTCTCTTCCTCATGCCATTTATCCCCTAGCCATGTGGTTTTGTAAGCGTAAAATTGTTTCTTTTCTGTATATAAATAAACAATATTAAAAAAAAATAATAAAAAATTATCCACAGATTCACTAAAATATCCCTCAAAATCCAACAATAACTTCCCACTAATAATTTTTGTTGTTTGCTTGTTGTTTAACGCCGCACTCAGCAATATTCAAGCTATATGATGGCGGTCTGTACATAATCGAGTCTGGACCAGACAATCCAGGGATTGACAACATGAGCATCAATCCACGCAATTGGTATTGATGACATGCATCAACCAAGTCAGTGATCCTGACCACCCGATCCCGTTAGTCGCCTCTTACGACAAGCATAGTAGCCTTTTACAGCAAGCATGGGTTGCTGAAGACCTATTCTACCCCGGATCTTCACGGGCCCCCACTAATAAAAGCACCATCAGCAATAAACATAAGATATACTCCCATTTGTCACCAGCCATTTCCAGGACCTTGTTCCTAAAAGAGATCTAGCGCTAACCAGGGTGCCATTGTACAAAACAACCTTAGCACAAAGACAGTTGTAAGTCTATGTTAAGGTATGGGAGTCACCATCAATTTAGCGCTAAGAATGCTTTGTAAACGGCACCCTGGTCAACAAAATATCAATCTGTAAATTAAGTGTTCCATATCCCTGAAATAATAATAGATATTATGAGTGAGTGAGTATGGTTTTATGCCACTATTAGCAATATTCCAAAAATATCACGATGGGGACACCAGATACGGGCTTAACACATTGTACCCATGAGGGGAATCGAACAAGGTTCTTTGTGCACTGAGCGAACACTTTAACCACTAGGCTACCCCATCGCTCCCACAGATATTATGCAACAGTCCTATTGTTAATGGTATTACAAGATAGACACAATTTTTATGGATAACAACTTCTTTAATACTGGGAAAAGCGATGTTTCGGTATAGATCCTTATACCGTTGTCAAGCAAGACTGTCTGTCCATAAAAATTGTGTCTATCTTGTCATCCGTCAACTTCTAAGTAATGCCTATCAAACAAGTTAATGGTATTGCAACAATAACATAGTCTTATGTTAGATGATAATTTAAACCTATCTGTGGGATTTGGAAATCAAACATTTTTGCCATTTTATTGACCTTGACAGCCATATCCCAAATGCAGAAGACATGAAACAGTATTTTCTTTAAAAAAAAGTATCTATCTGTCTGTGCTTCTGATGTTTTCATTAAGAATTCATTTCTTCTTCTCATGCAACGATATCATTGCGTGACTGCAACACCTAAGTCTTCCTCGTTCTCGGATTCTGTGAAAGGCATGTTTTCTTCTCATGCAACGATATCATTGCGTGACTGCAACACCTCAGTCTTCCTCGTTCTCGGATTCTGTGAAAGGCACCATCATGATATCCAACTCCACACCAAACTCATCTTCCCATGGCTGCCGGATTCCGTTCACTAATAACTGTACACCGTTAGTCGTCTCCATGGTGATCTGCCACTTGGTTTCCAGACCAGTTTGTTCATTGAAGAAGGAAAGTATCATTCGTCTCTTGTCCATCTCAACTATTTCCTGGATTACAAATAAACAGTCAGTATGTTAACTTGGAAATTATGACTTATTTCAGCATAAGTGTTGGTCATCTCTCATCCTTCTTAAGACAGCGAACTTAGTAGCCCCACTGTAGTCAACTTATGTTACAAGTATCAGGTACTGTTGATGTAGTCTGCCCTGAAATCTACATTAGCCATGTAGCTGTTGCTATGACAACAATGTGTGAGTGAGTGAGCTGCAGTTGGCAATATTTCACCTATAGCATGGTGGCTTGAAAATAATCTTGTCTGGACCAGACAAACCAGTGACTAGAAGCATGAGCAATCCATATCATGTGTTTACCAACACTCCAACTGGACAGACATTACTTTATATAATGCACTATGTAGGAGAGGGGAGGTAAAATGGGGTTTAACGTTGTGTTCTAGATTATTGCACTTATATATAGCAATGTGCGCGCATGTGCAGCTGCTTGTATGGCTGTTTATACTAGTCCGGACTGGATTTATAGTGTTAGCACAATGAGATACCATGCTGCAGTTTAACATTGATACCTCACTCTGTAAACTGACTCCAAGCTGACCCGTCCTGGTTTTACCCCCAAAATGCTGAGCGCCAGGCAGGGTAAAAAAAGTACCATCTCTTAAAGTCTTTTGGTATCATGCTGTCAGATACCAACCTCCACTGTCCGGGCAGACACCCTAACCACCAGATCAAGGTGGCACAATAAGCAAACACTTTAACCACAAGGCCGCTAAACCTAAATATAACAGGTGGACATACTCAGACATTACTTTTGAAGGTGAAATTTGAAACAAAAGTGTTTGAGTCTGAGCATGCTGAGACCATACAGACTGTGATATCAAGTATTTACAAATATACTCGTGTTCAACAAACTATCATCGTTTGACATTTTGTAAAGGAAATATATTGGTATTTAGATTTGAATCTAATCAGTTGCCTGCTACCTACCACAGTGGCAATGTTGTTGATGGGTTGTCTCTCCAGCACTGTGAAGTGTTTGGCCACCGTGTCAGCGGCTAGCGGGGCCTGGAGGCGAGGCTGCGGCCACTGGTGACTCTCCTTCACCACGCAGACTGACCGGTTGCTCAACACAAAACTCACTGGATATCTCGGATGGCGACCTTAAAAAATACAAGATTTTCAAGGCTAAAACACTATACAAACGTACCACTGAAAAACACGAGTTTCATTTTGTGTCAAAATAAACAACTTCATATATTCAAAATGCTTCACCATAAACGTATGCCACAGACAGGTTCATGATATAAACCATTTCTTATACTTATTTATTGACACATATTTCCGTAGATAAGGCCAACTATCAATGCCTGTTACATCTTATAACAGTACTTTTGGCAAAGAGACACTTCTGGTTTGCAAAAACATGAAATGGAAATCCGGAAACAAACGAAATATGATTTTTGTTTCGTGTGACAACAGTTTCATTTTGTGTCAAAATAAACTTATGTCACAACTCATATTGAAAACACTTTTGGCAAAGACACACTTTGAAAAACATGAAACGGCAAATCAAAAAACAAACGAAATATGATTGTGTTATGTGTGACTACAGACAAGCAGACTGGCAATTCCTACTGCTCAGTTACATGTATACATCTCCTTTCAAATAATGGTGAGTTTGTGTGATTTGCCGATCAGCATGATCAGTTCTCAAGCCATTTCGCCACAATTAATGTAAACAATAGTGACAGTAATCTTGTAAAAAATAATATAGAAGATTACAAACATAAGTCCAGATATGAACACATTAAATAACCAGATAGCATAACATCAGGACTAATTTTCAATCTTCAGTATGGATTTATTAACATGTTATTTCCGGCGTTAAGTGTTAAATGGTAATGTTATTAGGCTGAAAAAAACTCATCGTAAGCATGTTTTAGGTGCACACATCCCTTCCCTGTACGCAGCTGTAAGTTTTTGGGGAAATAGTGCACACCATACACAAGAAAATATGGTACTTGTGGACCAACGGTTCACTCCATGTCTCGTGTGAAGAAATGCCCTGCCCCACTTGTCTGGCAAACAGCCCCAGGACACATGCACCTCCAGGTTTTCCTTCTCACCTCTCACCATGTACCCCATGAGGTACAGCTCCAGCGCCTCATCCTCCTCCAATCGCCGTGACAACACTTCCCTGAGGATGTCTGCCATTGTTGCTTTGGCTGGTGTCAGCTGGAACTCAGCCTTGATCTTGTTGTGCATACTCAGCACATTCTTCTGCAGCAACTCTGAAAACAGACCCATTCCTATTGATCCTGTGCAACTAGTACACACATTAACTATATAAAGTAAACATGCAAGTCTCTTACTTGTTATAATTTCAAACATACATAATATAATTTCCCGTATACTGCAATACGCTTTGCAACATTTTTTTTGCAATTACTTGTATTGTTAATCTAAAATGAACACAGAAATTCATTCACAAATGTTGTTCCCCTTCGAAATTGACATACAAAACAGCTGAAATGTGGAAGTGATTCTTCTTTCATGTTGTTATCTCCCCTGTATCCATGACAAAACAAAATGGCGGAAACTGACCATGCTGATTTTAACATCATAAAATTTACTTTAGTATGTTGAAAATAGGACCTGCATGTACCATGTCAATCACTGTCCAACACTTGAGCTCCCAATATATCACAATACGAATCTTCGCATATTGCAATACCAAATTTTTGGCCAATCTACAGTCCTACTTTTTAACATCTTTTCTATGACAAAAAATACAAACCAAAACATGACTGATATGATTTAAGAATTTGCCTAGTACCCCGGTAATGACCTGTTTTCTGCTACAATCCATAATATATTGCTATTAGGTTACCTTTTTATTAGTGGTATGAAAGAAAGACTATAAGAGTTATGTGCCTTTGTAAACAGACAGTTTGTTGTATCTCACACAGTGTAGAATAATTGATCCTGTATCTTTAGTTTTGGTATGTATATACGTTCTTCTTCATTGTGATATCATGTTCATGTGTTTAATGTTGTCATGGTAATGCCAGCTAGGCTGAGAGTCGAGATGTGACTGAGGAATTAGTAAAGATACTGCTTTTTGAACTAGAGTCATCATTGTTGTCATTATTGATTAATGATTTAAGACAAGGTGTAACAATGTGATTGACATAAAACTTAACCTCAACACTGAAAACAGTGTTCAATAACATATACCATTCACAACCAGAGTACAACAGAGCTGTGATTATTTCCTTGCCGTACCAACCTGACAGGAAGGTGACGAAGCTGTTACACTGGTCAGCATCCCTCATGATGAATGTATAGCAGGAACACTCCGTGTCGAACTCCAGGCGGAAACACTGACGCCCCAAACCCATGTCCACAAACTGGAGCTCAGTCACTGGCTGGATGTCCACTGTTGTCAACCAGTCAGATACAGTCTCACTGCAATAGACAGATTCATACAGTCTCCCTGCAATAGACAGATAACACAGTCTCACTGCAATAGACAGATTCATACAGTCTCACTGCAATAGACAGATTCATACAGTCTCACTGCAATAGACAGATAACACAGTCTCACTGCAATAGACAGATAACACAGTCTCACTGCAACAAACAGCTTCATACAGTCTCACTGCAACAAACAGCTTCACACAGTCTCACTGCAATAGACAGATTCATACAGTCTCACTGCAACAAACAGCTTCATACAGTCTCACTGCAATAGACAGATTCATACAGTCTCACTGCAATAGACAGATTCATACAGTCTCACTGCAATAGACAGATAACACAGTCTCACTGCAATAGACAGATAACACAGTCTCACTGCAACAAACAGCTTCATACAGTCTCACTGCAATAGACAGATAACACAGTCTCACTGCAACAAACAGATTCATACAGTCTCACTGCAACAAACAGCTTCATACAGTCTCACTGCAATAGACAGCTTCATACAGTCTCACTGCAATAGACAGATCACACAGTCTGGCTGCCACAAACAGCTTCATACAGTCTCACTGCAATTGATAGATCACACAGTCTCACTGCAATAGACAGATTCATACAGTCTCACTGCAACAAACAGATTCATACAGTCTCACTGCAATAGACAGCTTCATACAGTCTCACTGCAATAGACAGATTCATACAGTCTCACTGCAACAAACAGCTTCATACAGTCTCACTGCAATAGACAGATTCATACAGTCTCACTGCAATAGACAGATTCATACAGTCTCACTGCAATAGACAGATTCATACAGTCTCACTGCAACAAACAGATTCATACAGTCTCACTGCAACAAACAGATTCATACAGTCTCACTGCAATAGACAGATAACACAGTCTCACTGCAACAAACAGCTTCATACAGTCTCACTGCAACAAACAGCTTCATACAGTCTCACTGCAACAAACAGATTCATACAGTCTCACTGCAATATCACAGCTTCATACAGTCTCACTGCAACAAACAGCTTCATACAGTCTCACTGCAATATCACAGCTTCATACAGTCTCACTGCAATAGACAGATTCATACAGTCTCACTGCAACAAACAGCTTCATACAGTCTCACTGCAACAAACAGCTTCATACAGTCTCATTGCAACAAACAGATTCATACAGTCTCACTGCAACAAACAGCTTCATACAGTCTCACTGCAATATCACAGCTTCATACAGTCTCACTGCAACAAACAGCTTCATACAGTCTCACTGCAATATCACAGCTTCATACAGTCTCACTGCAACAAACAGCTTCATACAGTCTCACTGCAATATCACAGCTTCATACAGTCTCACTGCAACAAACAGCTTCATACAGTCTCACTGCAACAAACAGCTTCATACAGTCTCACTGCAACAAACAGATTCATACAGTCTCATTGCAACAAACAGCTTCATACAGTCTCACTGCAACAAACAGATTCATACAGTCTCATTGCAACAAACAGCTTCATACAGTCTCACTGCAACAAACAGCTTCATACAGTCTCACTGCAATATCACAGCTTCATACAGTCTCACTGCAACAAACAGCTTCATACAGTCTCACTGCAATATCACAGCTTCATACAGTCTCACTGCAACAAACAGCTTCATACAGTCTCACTGCAACAAACAGCTTCATACAGTCTCATTGCAACAAACAGATTCATACAGTCTCACTGCAACAAACAGCTTCATACAGTCTCACTGCAACAAACAGATTCATACAGTCTCATTGCAACAAACAGCTTCATACAGTCTCACTGCAACAAACAGCTTCATACAGTCTCACTGCAACAAACAGCTTCATACAGTCTCACTGCAACAAACAGATTCATACAGTCTCACTGCAATATCACAGCTTCATACAGTCTCACTGCAACAAACAGCTTCATACAGTCTCACTGCAATATCACAGCTTCATACAGTCTCACTGCAACAAACAGCGTCATACAGTCTGACTGCAACAAACAGCTTCATACAGTCTCACTGCAATAGACAGATTCATACAGTCTCACTGCAACAAACAGCTTCATACAGTCTCACTGCAACAAACAGCTTCATACAGTCTCACTGCAATAGACAGATAACACAGTCTCACTGCAACAAACAGCTTCATACAGTCTCACTGCAACAAACAGCTTCATACAGTCTCACTGCAATAGACAGATTCATACAGTCTCACTGCAACAAACAGCTTCATACAGTCTCATTGCAACAAACAGATTCATACAGTCTCACTGCAACAAACAGCTTCATACAGTCTCACTGCAACAAACAGATTCATACAGTCTCACTGCAACAAACAGATTCATACAGTCTCACTGCAACAAACAGCTTCACACAGTCTCACTGCAACAAACAGATTCATACAGTCTCACTGCAACAAACAGCTTCATACAGTCTCACTGCAATAGACAGATTCATACAGTCTCACTGCAACAAACAGCTTCATACAGTCTCACTGCAACAAACAGATTCATACAGTCTCACTGCAACAAACAGATTCATACAGTCTCACTGCAACAAACAGCTTCATACAGTCTCACTGCAATAGACAGATTCATACAGTCTCACTGCAACAAACAGCTTCATACAGTCTCATTGCAACAAACAGCTTCATACAGTCTCACTGCAACAAACAGCTTCATACAGTCTCACTGCAACAAACAGCTTCATACAGTCTCACTGCAACAAACAGATTCATACAGTCTCACTGCAATATCACAGCTTCATACAGTCTCACTGCAACAAACAGCTTCATACAGTCTCACTGCAATATCACAGCTTCATACAGTCTCACTGCAACAAACAGCGTCATACAGTCTGACTGCAACAAACAGCTTCATACAGTCTCACTGCAATAGACAGATTCATACAGTCTCACTGCAACAAACAGCTTCATACAGTCTCACTGCAACAAACAGCTTCATACAGTCTCACTGCAATAGACAGATTCATACAGTCTCACTGCAACAAACAGCTTCATACAGTCTCACTGCAACAAACAGCTTCATACAGTCTCACTGCAACAAACAGATTCATACAGTCTCACTGCAATAGACAGATAACACAGTCTCACTGCAACAAACAGCTTCATACAGTCTCACTGCAACAAACAGCTTCATACAGTCTCACTGCAACAAACAGATTCATACAATCTCACTGCAATATCACAGCTTCATACAGTCTCACTGCAACAAACAGCTTCATACAGTCTCACTGCAACAAATAGCTTCATACAGTCTCACTGCAACAAACAGCTTCATACAGTCTCACTGCAACAAACAGATTCATACAATCTCACTGCAATATCACAGCTTCATACAGTCTCACTGCAACAAACAGCTTCATACAGTCTCACTGCAACAAACAGCTTCATACAGTCTCACTGCAATAGACAGATTCATACAGTCTCACTGCAACAAACAGCTTCATACAGTCTCACTGCAACAAACAGCTTCATACAGTCTCACTGCAACAAACAGCTTCATACAGTCTCACTGCAACAAACAGCTTCATACAGTCTCACTGCAATAGACAGATAACACAGTCTCACTGCAACAAACAGCTTCATACAGTCTCACTGCAACAAACAGCTTCATACAGTCTCACTGCAACAAACAGATTCATACAGTCTCACTGCAACAAACAGCTTCATAGTCTCACTGCAACAAACTGCTTCATAGTCTCACTGCAACAAACAGCTTCATACAGTCTCACTGCAACAAACAGCTTCATACAGTCTCACTGCAACAAACAGCTTCATACAGTCTCACTGCAACAAACAGCTTCATACAGTCTCACTGCAACAAACAGATTCATACAGTCTCACTGCAACAAACAGCTTCATAGTCTCACTGCAACAAACTGCTTCATAGTCTCACTGCAACAAACAGCTTCATACAGTCTCACTGCAACAAACAGCTTCATACAGTCTCACTGCAACAAACAGCTTCATACAGTCTCACTGCAACAAACAGCTTCATACAGTCTCACTGCAACAAACAGCTTCATACAGTCTCACTGCAACAAACAGCTTCATACAGTCTCACTGCAACAAACAGATTCATACAGTCTCACTGCAATAGACAGATAACACAGTCTCACTGCAACAAACAGCTTCATACAGTCTCACTGCAACAAACAGCTTCATACAGTCTCACTGCAACAAACAGATTCATACAATCTCACTGCAATATCACAGCTTCATACAGTCTCACTGCAACAAACAGCTTCATACAGTCTCACTGCAACAAATAGCTTCATACAGTCTCACTGCAACAAACAGCTTCATAGTCTCACTGCAACAAACTGCTTCATAGTCTCACTGCAACAAACAGCTTCATACAGTCTCACTGCAACAAACAGCTTCATACAGTCTCACTGCAACAAACAGCTTCATACAGTCTCACTGCAACAAACAGCTTCATAGTCTCACTGCAACAAACAGCTTCATACAGTCTCACTGCAATAGACAGATAACACAGTCTCACTGCAACAAACAGCTTCATACAGTCTCACTGCAACAAACAGCTTCATACAGTCTCACTGCAACAAACAGATTCATACAGTCTCACTGCAACAAACAGCTTCATAGTCTCACTGCAACAAACTGCTTCATAGTCTCACTGCAACAAACAGCTTCATACAGTCTCACTGCAACAAACAGCTTCATACAGTCTCACTGCAACAAACAGCTTCATACAGTCTCACTGCAACAAACAGCTTCATACAGTCTCACTGCAATAGACAGATAACACAGTCTCACTGCAACAAACAGCTTCATACAGTCTCACTGCAACAAACAGCTTCATACAGTCTCACTGCAACAAACAGATTCATACAGTCTCACTGCAATAGACAGATCACACAGTCTGGCTGCCACAAACAGCTTCATACAGTCTCACTGCAATTGATAGATCACACAGTCTCACTGCAATAGACAGATTCATACAGTCTCACTGCAACAAACAGATTCATACAGTCTCACTGCAATAGACAGATTCATACAGTCTCACTGCAACAAACAGCTTCATACAGTCTCACTGCAACAAACAGATTCATACAGTCTCACTGCAACAAACAGATTCATACAGTCTTACTGCAACAAACAGCTTCATACAGTCTCACTGCAACAAACAGCTTCATACAGTCTCACTGCAACAAATGGTAATTGTGAAGGGTAACCAAGCATAAACGCTCTGAGTGTGTTGCAAAGAGTTAGTCCTTCGAGACATATCAAGACGGTTTTGTGGTTATGAAATCTTGAGGCTTGCCTAAGCAACCACCCTTATCACTTGGGATATCATTTGACTGATCTATTAATAACTAGGTCACCATTACGGTCTGGTCCACTTAGAGACCCATCATTTCATATTTTCTAGGGGCTGGGAGGCTGACATTATTGCAAGAGGTCAAATATTGTACAAGAGAGCAAATATTGTACAAGAGGTCAAATATTGTACTAGAAATCAAATATTGTACAAGATATCCAATATTGTACAAGAGATCCAATATTGTACTAGAGATCCAATATTGTACAAGAAATCCAATATTGTACAGGAGATCCAATATTGTACAAGAGTTCAAACGTTGTACAAGAGTACAATGTAACCTATCCCCTACAATGAATATCAATGGTTGGTTTAATATAGAATGAGTTGAGATACAATGTACTGCCAACCTTGAGGAATCAGATGCCACTTTAAACACGTAGAACTTGGTTGCTGTCATCACCAGAATAGCTTTGAACTCCTCCTCCACCAGATACTGACAAGCATCACACTGAAATATACACCGACATGAGATATTGACATACATTACACTGAAATATACACCGACATGAGATATTGACATACATTACACTGAAATATACACCGACATGAGATATTGACATACATTACACTGAAATATACACCGACATGAGATGTCAACATACATTACACTGAAATATACACCAACATGAGATATTGACATACATTACACTGAAATATACACCGACATGAGATATTGACATACATTACACTGAAATATACACCGACATGAGATGTCAACATACATTACACTGAAATATACACCGACATGAGATATCGACATAAATTACACTGAAATAATCACCGACATGAGATGTCAACATACATTACACTGAAATATACACCAACATGAGATGTCAACATACATTACACTGAAATATACACCGACATGAGATATTGACATACATTACACTGAAATATACACCGACATGAGATGTCAACATACATTACACTGAAATATACACCGACATGAGATGTCAACATACATTACACTGAAATATACACCGACATGAGATATTGACATACATTACACTGAAATATACACCGACATGAGATGTCAACATATATTACACTGAAATATACACCGACATGAGATATTGACATACATTACACTGAAATATACACAGACATGAGATGTCAACATACATTACACTGAAATATACACCAACATGAGATGTCAACATACATTACACTGAAATATACACCAACATGAGATGTCAACATACATTACACTGAAATATACACCAACATGAGATGTCAACATGCATTACACTGAAATATACACCGACATGAGATGTCAACATACATTACACTGAAATATACACCAACATGAGATGTCAACATACATTACACTGAAATATACATTTACATGGGATACAGACAGTGATTACCCTGAAATATAGTGTGTGAGTGAGTGAGTTGGGCTTAACATGGGTTTGAACAGTATTCCAGTTGTATCACAACATGTCTGCTTCATGTGGGAGGATAGCCTGAAGTGATGCAGGTCTCAGACGTTTACCACTTTGGTGAAAACAACAAGCATGGGTATGGTTCTGACAAACCTAGAAACATAACTAGGGTCAACCACAGTGAAATATACAGCATTCCATGTCGGTGTAAATTTCAGTCAAGTCAGTATCTCATGTCGGTGTACATTCCAGTGAAATGTATGTCAAAATGTCATGTTAGTGAATATTTCAGTGTAACGCTCGTCAGTATCACTGACATCAGATACTGACAGTGACACACATTACACTGGAAAATACGCCAACAAGGGATGCTAGCAGGTGTTACACTGATATATACACCAACATGCGATACTGACATGCATGACACTGGAATGTACACATACAAGAGATACTGACAGGTGTTACACTGATATATACACCGACATGGGGTACTGACAGGTATTATACTGAAATATACACCTGCATAAAAGGTGAGGTGAAATGGGGTTTAACATCGTGTCCAAGACTATTTCAATTATATAGCAACGTGCATGCACGCTTGTGTGTGTGTGGCTGCTTGTACTTGTTGGGACTGATGCTGATTTATAGTGCTAGCCCACTGAGATACCATGCTGCAGTTTGACATGAATACCCCACTCAGACACAGTATACTGACTCCGAGCCGATCAGTCCCTGTTTTAGCCTCTTAATGCCGAGCGCCAGACAGGGTAACAAGAAGTACCATCTTTTAACGTCATTTGATATGACACTGTCGGGGATCGAACCCCGGACCTTCCGCTCTCTGGGCGGACGCTCTACCTCTAGACCATGGAGGCGGTCTACACCTGCATAAAGTACTGACAGGTATTATACTGAAATATATATCTGCATGAGATACTGACAGGTCTTATACTGAAATATACACCTACATAAAATACTGACAGGTATTATACTGAAATATACACCTACATAAAATACTGACAGGTATTATACTGAAATATACACCTACATAAAATACTGACAGGTATTATACTGATATATACACTGACATGAGATACTGACAGGTCTTACACTGAAATATACACCGCAATGAAATACTGACAGGTATTATACTGATATATGCACTGGCATGTAGGGATGACCTGATACGACTATCAGAAAAAAACTCAAACAGCATTTGAGTCTTAAAACTATATTGATCTACACTGTACAAGGTCGATATAGCATAAATGAATTAAGATAAAATTGTGCATTAAAATGTAGATGGGACCCATTTTGTCAACAAATTCAAGTCAATATGTGAAACGATACAGTAAAAAAATATGAATCGTTACAGGTATTGGGGTAAGTGTGCATCGCATACACATGTATCATGTCATCTGAGAATACTATCAAAACATCAATACATTGGTGAATTGTGACATCACTGACAGGGGACAATGTGATTCATTAAAACTTCTCACAAAACATCAATAGCCATACATGTTCAATTTAAAAAACATTCACTAACCTCACATATGACAATTACCTTGTTTCTGTGTGTTTTAGTACTGTAACACCAAAACAACAATAATGCCAGTCTTCTGGATGCTTTAGTGCCTATATAAACAAACCAGGCCATTCTACTTGTCAATCTGAGAATTCTACACATAAAAGAATTACCTTCAATATACACTCAAATTCCTCGTTATCATCAAACACGTTCATCATGAGATGCAGCTTGAGATGGTGGTCGACATGGGTAAAGGGATGTTCATACACTGCATGGGACCTCTCCCTTGTCTGAACCTCCTCCTGACCATCCTCCACCAGCTCCACGCCAGCCCCCTCCGTCACGATCACATTGATGTCCGACGCATTGTCACTCTTATCATGGAAGCTAGTCCGTTTGTCTTTCCCAAGACTGGACGCAATCCCACTGTCATAGATACTAGGTGTATCAGTTCCGTCACTTCCTGCCACCACCTCACTCACTCTTGAGGGACTACTTTCACTCTTGGAGTCTTCCTTGGTACCATCAAGACCCGAGTTCTGATAAACACTCGACACCATGCTGCTACAAATACTGTTGGATAACGGCGATCCCATAGGTGTAACATCCTTATCGAAGCCGACATCGCTCTGTTCAGCCGGAATGTGAAACTGTTTAGGTTCTGAGGCACTTCTGACAATCACCTCCTCCTTGACAAGGTTCCCCTTCACCTCCTCCTTGAAAACGTTCCCCCTCTCCTCTTCGTTGATGTTGTCCCCAGTCTCCTTATCTTTGATGGTATTCCCTGCCACCTCTTCCTCCAACACTTCCTTAATGCTCTTTCTATCCTCCATCGGTGTGAGGGCTGACAACGTCTCAGAACTCGACTCGGATATAACCGCTATACTGCCCTCGCTGGGGTTAGTCAATATTGTGATGTCACTGTCCTGAGATGCGATACGAGGATAAGACACTTTGTTCATCAAGCCTTGGTCCATGTCTGACCAGGACTGCCGTCTGAATGCTTTGTTCTCTATGGGAGTCGTCACGGATTCTATCTGAGATTCTAAACTATTGGTTTCTGTCCTTTGTGTTTCAGTGTTTTCAACAAATGCATTGCTTCTTGGTCTGGCTGCAGTATCCAGTGATTGGTTATCGGAATACAGATTTCGCCGCACATTCTGCACTTGCTCTACAACATTCGTTGACGTCTGTGGTTTCCGAGGGGTAGACTTAGCCAAAGGACTAGGTACAAATCCTTGAGAGCTGAAAGAGTGTTAAAATCTTGAAAATGCTAAGCTACAGACTGCAGCCAATCAATCAAAGTTTACTTATCTTATTACTTATTTCTTACATAACAAATAAGGTCTAAAGATTAAAAAAACATGTAAGGACACTAATGTGTTGTTACTTTAATTATTACTGGTCGGATCATCTTAATGATTCAGGACTTAGCCTTAAAACGTTTATGTGAGCATTAGTTGTTTTATTTCTCAGGTTTACAGATCCCCAATCCACAAATTTGACAACTATGAGTGAGTGAGTTTGATTTTACGCTGCTTTTAGCAATATTCCAGCAATATCACGGCGCAATGACAACTATGGAATATTATACAAAATTTAGAATTCGTTTCTTCTTCACATCAATTCAGCTGATAAACTAAAAATCAAAGCAGACTAATTTATCACGGGAAGTAATTCTTCAAGCCTTCGTCAGAATCATGGATAAAATATTCTTGTTGGAATGAACAGGATTTTGCCTGCAATTCTGCCAATTACGCACTCTGAGCGCTGTCCTCGGCCTGGACTGAGGAAACTGCCACTGGAGCTGGAGTAGGAGCCGACAGGTGTGGACAGTGCTGAGGATGGCTGCGAGTCCACAGTCTTCTCCACTTGGATCACATGGTCACTCCCACACTTCGGGCACTGGTACATCACACTCACTGGACGACAGAAACACCAGATATTGAACCACTGTTATCAGCAGAATCAGAGAAATACAAGTCACCATTGCATTTGCATAGCTAAAACATTATTTATACTAATGAAAAAATGTTGACATTCCAATTTGCAAATTCTTAACATCTGCTTCAGACATGTGGCAGATTAATGATCAATGTGAGCATAAAAAACAAACTTACCTTGACTCATGAAAGCAAGATCTTTGCTGGATCCCACCCTTGGCATAGACGTTTGGTTGGGCAGGGGTTTCCCTTCTACCCCACTGAAGTTGTGCGAACATTTCAGGCACTACAACCACAAGTATTCTGTTCAAGCTTAAGTTAAGTACTGTACCAAATGTTCTTAAATCATGTTATTTGTTTGTTGTTTAACGCCGCACTCAGCAATATTCCAGCTGTAAGACGGCGGTCTGTAAAATAATTGAATCTTGACCAGACAATCAAGTGATTGACATCGTGAGCATCGATCCACGCAATTGGGATACGATGACATGCATCAACCAAGTCAGCGAGCCTGACCACACGATCCCGTTAGTCACATCTTACGACAAGCATAATTGCCTTCTAGGGGCAAGCATGGGGTTGCTGAAGACCTATTCTACCCCGGATCTTCATGGATCCTTAAATCATGTAATAAAGTACACATAGACACAAAAAAAATCTGCTTTCATTTCAAGATCTGCCAGCATTTCTTGACCATTATTGATATAAATATGTGGTACATTTTTTAGACATTGTTATTTTCAACTGCCATCTCTGATGAAGATGTATGAAACCAACAACTCATTTACATTCAAAATGGAATCATCCATGAACACTCACCTGATAGACAAACTTTGGCAGTGACTTCAGTTCCCTTTCGTATAAGAATGGTTGAAGTAAATCACACATTTTCTGAAAACAATAATGCCCACATGAAATATCTGTGTTGGAAGTTAACCGAGGGTCTAGGATCCTTGAGCTTCTGTAGTACTTCAATCGAGTGAGTGAGTGAGTGAGTGAGTGAGTGAGTGAGTGAGTGAGTGAGTGAGTGAGTGAGTGAGTGAGTGAGTGAGTGAGTGAGTGAGTGAGTGAGTGAGTGAGTGAGAGAGTGTGTGAGTGTGTGAGTGAGTGAGTGAGTGAGTGAGTGGTTAACTGGGATATCGAACCCATGATACAAGGTTTCTTTTGTTTGTTTGTTGTTTAACGCCGCACTCAGCAATATTCCAGCTATATGACAGCAGTCTGTAAATAATAAAGTCTGAACCAGACAATCCAGTGATTGACATCATGAGCATCGATCAATGCAACTGGGATACGATGATATGCATCAACCAAGTCAGCGAGCTGACCACCCGATCACGTTAGTCGCCTCTTACGACAAGCAAGGGTACCCCGTATCTTCACAGGTCTCAAAGGTTTCTGGCGTGCCTCAGAGACAAATAGAACTTAGATAGATTGATGTGGGTATCTAGTAGATCCTTGCTAGGGGAGACAACTCAACACCACAGCATATGACGCCTCAGACTACACAGCCACCAATACCCCTCAACAACAGTTGTGATAACTTGTATTATAATGATTATACAACAAAGATAAGATCATAATACCAGTATTCACCTGCGCACTTTCATCATTTTCCATAACATAAACTCGTTCCCGTCTGTCTTTCCTAACGTAGTCAAACGACAGCTGCAAATGAGGCATCAATACGTTTCCTATCACATCCTCATGGTCTACACTGTCTTCTGACTGGTCGAGGGACAGCAGTGATTTCAAGTCAAGTCTTTCCGTTAATACTCCATTCAAGTTCTTTTCCAGGATGTATCGCTGGTTCACAGTTACTAACATCTGCTCAAAGTTCCTCTGCTTCAGGAACACTATAAATGGTTCACTTTCTTCCCCTGAAAAATGTGCCAAAGATCAATGTTAAGGTGAGGTGAAATGGGGTTTAACATTGCGTCCAAGATTATTGCACTTATATAGCGACGTGCATGCACGTGTATGTGTGTGGCTGCTTGTACTAGTCCGGACTGATGCCGATTTATAGTACTAGCTCACTGAGATACCATGACGCAGTTTAACATGAATACCCCACTACGACACATAATACTGACTCTGAGCCGACCAGTCCTTGTTTTAGCCCCTTAATGCCGAGCGCCAGACAGGGTAACAACAAGTACCATCTTTCAGTGTCTTTTGGTATGACGCGGACAGGGATCGAACCCCTGACCTTCCGCTCTCCGGGCGGACGCTTTACCACTAGACCACGGAGGCGGTCAGATCAATGTGAACATGAGTGTCAGTCCTGTTGAGGGAAACTGCACAGTACACAATAGCAGTCATCCTATTTCCATAAAATTTCAAAAGGCCCCAAAACAATATGCATTTAGCTAGGGCTGGGATGAGTCCAAATTTACTACCCGAGTACCCAGCCCCCTTATTACCCGACCCTACCCGGGTACCCACTGTAGGTCTCAAGTGATACAAAATGTCAGAATGGGATTTTTTTACCACAGTACTTGCAAAACATATTTATGGTCATGCAAACGCTGGAGTTGACTTTAGTTATATCTTTATTCAGCCATATGAAAAGTCAGAAGGAATGGGTGCATGGTCAGAAAGAAATTCGAACATTAGTGACTTCTAGTGTAACCATAGAGTTCTAGATAATTTTTGTCATTAAACAATATATCATGTGACTAACCATGGGGTACCCAGGTCCTACTCAGTACCCACCCGTCTCAGCCCTACATTTAGCGACCATTTGTCTGAAATTGCTTGATACATTCGAAACCTTTTTTCACAGTTTAATCTTACATAAAAGATTAGTGGCTCTGCATGTTACCATGACAACATGGTTACTCTGCAATTCAACTTAAAGTTCACAAGATGATGATTTCTAACCAATTTAATAATAAAATCACCCTGCACTAAAATATCAAATGAAGGAAGCAATGATGTGGAAGACATTACCATAAGACTCAATCTCTTCATCCTCGCTCCTCGTCCACTCAAACCCTGAACTCTCCTGTCTGACTGCCGGACCCGTCTTACTGTTGCTAAAATCAGACACCTGTGATAGGTTGCCTCCATGTCCATTCTGCTTCTTCATCTCTGTCCACTCCTCCTCGGCGGAGCGGGATATGCTGAGTGACCGCACCGGTTCATTCAGGTACAGATCATCTGCTGTAGGGACACTCTCAGACAATCCATTCCTCATCACAGCTGGCTGAGGCAAAGTTGTGGCTGTTGTCTTGGTTTCCTTGCCAGTGTCCTTGCTGGAGATATTGCTGGAGGTCTTGCTGGTGGTGTTGTTCACGACCTTGCTGGTTGTGTCCGAGTCACTTGCTGCACTGTTGGAGGCATCACTCCGGCCCGTGTCACTATTGAAGTGGGGAATGGCCTGCAGCCAGTTGGGGCCGTAGTGGTCACGCAGCATCTCAACGGCCTGCCGGGTATTGGTGTGTTCCGCGAAGTAGCCTCCCTTGGTTGAACCTATTTACACACAATATTCATACATGTCAATTGTGTTATGACTTTTAAGAATGTTCACAATGCATAGAGACTTAAATCATTTCCTTTCTTCATATATTTGAATAATGCAACTCATACCCTCTCAGTGCCAAATACAAAAGTGAAAACCCTTGAACTGCAGCAACTAAATTCCTCAACTGCAGGAACAAGGTAGGATGAGATGGTAATGTGGCTGTTAATCTCTAACACTTCACAGGTAACTTGGGTTGCATACTCCCCAGGGAGTTGAGAATGAAAATTCATGGTCTAAGCGCATTTGAGCAGTCAAAATTGGATAGTGCGCTATTCAGATACATAATATTGATACTACTACTACTACTACTACTACTACTACTAAAAATAATTATTACAAGGCCAAAAGTAAGCACACTAACACCCCTGACTTTGACTCCAACATATGTCTAAGTTCAAAACATGTAAAAATTCATATTTTCTCAGAAAATCCACCCATCAAAATCAAACTTTGCACTGCACCTCTTCTATTAGTATGGAGACTGTTCGCCAAATTTGAAAAGAATCCATGCAGTTGTGTTCAAGTTATAGGTCACACAAATGTTTACGTCAAAAAATGAAAAATAGCTGTATTTTATCAGAAAACCCAAGTATTGAAATCAAACTTAATACACTGCATCCCTCCTATTGGCATAGAAAGTGTTCACCTAGTTTGAAAAGAATCTATGCTGTATTTTTCAAGTCCTTGATAACACAAAAATATTTCCTTGGCAGGAACCTCTCGGTTTAACTATATACCCCTGACCTTTAACGACTTGGGTATGATAATCACGGTGTCCAGACTGAAACATAACATGGACTCCAGAACATGCAGCTATGTCCAACAATCCTAAAGTTATATCAACACTAGTCATGATGACATCTACAAAATGTGAATAAACACGGCTGGATATTCATCGTGACCATTATCGTACAGCACAGCCATTGGCTAAACCTACTGTAAGATCCTTCAGGAGAAGACACCTCAGTAGCAGATGAATCCATGTCTGCTATCTCCTTCGCCCGTTTATTGCGTTTTTTCCCCTTCTTTTTTTGACCTATAGAAAGGGAGGTGGCAATACCATCTGACTCGTTGAAACTGAACTCTCCGGAGTCGTTATGATCGCGGAAACGGCCACCTTGGGTTATCACATTATGAGCAAGAGACGATGGTCGACGAGAGGAATTCACAAAATGCGGTCGTTGTTGTGCTACCTGGAAGGCAAACATAATGATTCCTGTAGAGTAAGTGATGAACGAGAGGGGAGGTGAAATGGGGTTTAACGTCGCGTCCAAGGTTACTGCACTTGTATAGCAACGTGCGTGCGTGCGTGTGTACTGCTTGTACTTGTACTATTCCGGACTAATACCGATTTATAGTGCTAGCCCACCGAGAGACAGTTTAACCCAATTACCCAGTATACACAGTCCTTGTTTAAGCCCCTTAATGTTGTGTGCCAGACAGGGTAACAACAAGTACCATTTTTTAATATCTTTTGGTATCACGCGGCCAGGGATCATACCCTGGACCTTCGGCACTCTGGACAGCGCTCTACAACTAGACCATGGAAGCGATCAGTGATGAATGTAGTGATATGCAGTAGTCCGCAATATTAAAGCAAAAATGTCACAGTGTTCTTCAATTAAATCCAGTGGTTGACAGCATGAACAACAATCAATACCGTTGAGGCACAATGACACACCAACAGCCAGGTGAAACACTGGCACCAAGATGCCAATCACTCAGCTCTTACAACAAGCATGGGTTGGCGGGGATCTATTCTGACCCGGAAACCCATCAAACATAGATTGAAATACAAATAGCAAAGTAACTTGGAACCGTTAGTCAGATCTAGTCTCATCACCCTCAGACAAAATAAACCCATATCGGCACCAGGGTATTCCTGGCATGTTTCAGACATCACTGACATGATGCAAATGTTTTCACTCAGACTGTTCCCTCCTCAACATTGAGCATACTTACAGCAATTTCAGATGTTGACAACTTCTTTCCATCCAGTTCAAACTGAAAATAATATCAGAAATGCTCTTTGTTTACAATATGTCAACATGCGACATCAATTCATTCCACATGCTATATTATGACCAACACAACCCACCCAGTGCTGACGGTTTACCTGCAAATACCGCATACATCAAGCACATCAGTTGGGACTGCTGCGGTAATCTTGTAATGAGGCTAACAGCCATACATGATATACACCAGTTGTAATCATCACTTGATATCTACCAAATAAACTAGACAATAGTGAGTCTGTATGGTTTTACGCCGCTTTTAGCAATATTCCAGCCATATCACGGCGGGGGACACCAGAAATGGGCTTCACACATTGTATCCATGTCGGGAATCGAACCCGGGTCTTCGGTGTGACGAGCGAACGCTTTAACCACTAGGCTACCCAACCCCCCCTAGACAATAGTGAGTGAGTGAATATGGTTTTATGCCGCTTTAGGCAATATTCCAGCGGGGGACACCAGACATGGGCTTCACACATTGTACCCATGTCGGGAATCGAACCCGGGTCTTCGCCGTGACGAGCCAACGCTTTAACCACTAGGCTACCCGACTGCCCTTAAACAAGACAATAAGTTAAAAGCTATTGGAAATAACAGTTTACCTCCCCTGTAAGCTCTTTCAACTCTTGATACAGAATTCCTCATCACTTGGAATACCAAGGTGTTGCTTTGATTACCCAAGACAATATTTGTTATCTAGTTTCAACACATAACCGTTTCAAGTCAAGAAGATAAAAAATCACTGCTTGCAATGGGTATTTGTAGGGGTGACTATTGGTGTGGAAATCACTATTGCGGTAACTATTGATATTGAAAGAAACTATTGCGATAACAATTGATATTGCAAGCAACTATTGCGATAAATCGATAGTTTTCTGTGTATCATTTTAGATGGATTTTAGAGTTGAATGAAGCCTTGGAACTAAAGTTTCCTTTGAATTTAATAACCATAACAACGAATAAAAAGTAAAGTTTGAGACATGACTGACTTGTTTTTCCTTTAATCTAATAATTCAAGAAAAAGAAACTTCCACATTACTATGTGTAAATTACTACCACTCATGATCACAAGAAAAACAAATTTGAACAACATTGCATGTATTTTATTGATATGGTAAATACAATCGAAACTATTGATATTCGTCACTGAAATCACTACTATTGATCGGAAACTGATTTAACAATCGATTTATTTACTTTGAGTGCTTACTAATAGCAATACATCAATATTTCGATTTATCGTGACACCCCTAGGTATTTGCGAACTATGACATCTTCAAGCAGCAATGGCTAAACATATAAACCCAGGAAACTATATGTTGTAACATGGAACAGCTTCACTAACAACCAAACAAAATCAAGATGAAATGCCCACTGAGGATCAAAACATCATATATTTCCTTGATCTCACTATCGACTAAGTTTAATAAGATAGAAACCTTAGATATCTCCTACAAGCTAAAATGTACCCAGAGTGACTATTGTCCAATGCCGCTACTGGTGACACACCATGTGTGCCATGTGAGTGACTATTGTCCGATGCTGCTACTGGTGACATACCATGTGTGCCATGTGAGTGACTATTGTCCAATGCCGCTACTGGTGACACACCATGTGTGCCATGTGAGTGACTATTGTCCAATGCCGCTACTGGTGACACACCATGTGTGCCATGTGAGTGACTATTGTCCAATGCTGCTACTGGTGACATACCATGTGTGCCATGTGAGTGATTATTGTCCAATGCTGCTACTGGTGACACACCATGTGTGCCATGTGAGTGATTATTGTCCAATGCTGCTACTGGTGACATACCCTGTGTACCATGTGAGTGATTATTGTCCAATGCTGCTACTGGTGACACACCATGTGTGCCATGTGAGTGATTATTGTCCAATGCTGCTACTGGTGACACACCATGTGTGCCATGTGAGTGATTATTGTCCGATGCTGCTACTGGTGACATACCATGTGTGCCATGTGAGTGATTATTGTCCGATGCTGCTACTGGTGACACACCCTGTGTGCCATGTGAGTGACTATTGTCCAATGCTGCTACTCGTGACACACCCTGTGTGCCATGTGAGTGATTATTGTCCACTGCTGCTACTGGTGACACACCATGTGTACCATGTGAGTGATTATTGTCCACTGCTGCTACTGGTGACACACCATGTGTACCATGTGAGTGACTATTGTCCGATGCTGCTACTGGTGACATACCATGTGTGCCATGTGAGTGATTATTGTCCACTGCTGCTACTGGTGACACACCATGTGTACCATGTGTGTGATTATTGTCCGATGCTGCTACTGGTGACACACCATGTGTACCATGTGAGTGATTATTGTCCGATGCTGCTACTGGTGACACACCATGTGTACCATGTGTGTGATTATTGTCTGATGCTGCTACTGGTGACATACCCTGTGTACCATGTGAGTGATTATTGTCCGATGCTGCTACTGGTGACACACCATGTGTACCATGTGAGTGATTATTGTCCACTGCTGCTACTGGTGACATACCCTGTGTACCATGTGAGTGATTATTGTCCACTGCTGCTACTGGTGACACACCATGTGTACCATGTGAGTGATTATGTCCAATGCTGCTACTGGTGACACACCATGTGTACCATGTGAGTGATTATTGTCCGATGCTGCTACTGGTGACACACCATGTGTGCCATGTGAGTGACTATTGTCCGATGCTGCTACTGGTGACATACCATGTGTGCCATGTGAGTGACTATTGTCCGATGCTGCTACTGGTGACACACCATGTGTGCCATGTGAGTGATTATTGTCCAATGCTGCTACTGGTGACACACCATGTGTGCCATGTGAGTGACTATTGTCAGATGCTGCTACTGGTGACACACCATGTGTACCATGTGAGTGACTATGTCCAATGCTGCTACTGGTGACACACCATGTGTGCCATGTGAGTGACTATTGTCCGATGCTGCTACTTGTGACACACCATGTGTACCATGTGAGTGACTATTGTCCGATGCTGCTACTGGTGACATACCCTGTGTGCCATGTGAGTGACTATGTCCTGTCATCACTATGTGTCTCACCTGTGTTGTAAGGACCTGTCGAGCCACGCAGCCCGTGGTGAGGACTCGGTGTGACTTGTGGTAGACAATGGGATTGCCCACAGTGTTCAGCTGAAACAACACATTGTTTACTAACATGAATGCATTGTTTGTTGTTAATGTATCAGCAGTATTCAAGCTATATGACAGCTAACATGCATATAAGAACATGCCATCGGAAGCCTTACTGAAATGTTCATTTCTTCATGTTTGATGAATATGCACATCCTTGAATATACGATCCCCATATCAAATGTATCTATTTGCAAGTGAATACATTATGTTTTCACCTTGTTTGGAAAACATCATCACGGGAAAGCTAGCTGAGTGGTCATCAACTAAGGGACGTAACTCCAATTTCTTACCACCCATGGTGATATTGATTGCCCATCTAAAGTGCATTGACAAGCCATATCAGCCCAGGGGGTGGAATACAGGTCCGGTTATTACACCACTTGCAATATGACTGTCTCTATGTTGGCTATATCACACATGCAAAATGCCTCATATCATAGATAGGTTTATGACAAAATGTAACATAGTATTCCTCTACTAGAAAGCCCTTACTCTGTACAGCAGGAGGAGGTTGGAGAGGGCTTGCAGGAACTGATGGTCAGCGATACAGTTCTCGGACACGTCCAGCTCTTGGAGGGCGGTCAACTCTTCCACACCTGGACAGAGAGTACATGTATAGATAATATCTACCAATAATACAACAGAAATCAAACACTGCAATAGAGAGGCTGTGCTCCACACTGTGCAGTCATAACCAGTCGAGCAACATGTAATGTGCCATTGTCTTTGCATTATTTCGATGATTATTAACAGCTGGATTGTTTCATAAAATGTACATTTTTAAAACAAATTCACTTTTACCATGTTTACTACACACTGATTGTCGAGAAATCTACAAATTATGCCATTAAATATTAAGAGCTTCCTTTTACCAACAGACTGAATTTGTTGTATCGGTACTCATTTTGTCTCTTCTTACGTAAAACATGAACATGGAAATGAAGACAAATATTAGTGTGTCAACACTAACCAGTAATGTTATCCAGATTATTATTCTTGATGACGAGGGTCTTGAGCTTGGCCTTGCAGGTGATGGAGAAGGTGGGCAGCGAGGACAGGCAGTTGTAGCCCAGGTTGAGCCGCTGCAGCTCTGTCAGGTACTGAAACAAAGATACACAGTCTAGTGGCACATGAAACACAGATACACAGTCTAGTGGCACATGAAACACAGATACACAGTGTAGTGGCACATGAAACAAATATACACAGTGTAGTGGCACATGAAACAAAGATACAAAGTCTAGCGGCACATGAAACACAGATGCACAGTCTAGTGGCACATGAAACACAGATACACAGTCTAGTGGCACATGAAACAAAGATACAGAGTTTAGTGGCACATGAAACAAAGATACAAAGTCTAGTGGCACATGAAACACAGATACACAGTCTAGTGGCACATGAAACACAGATACAGTCTAGCGGCACATGAAACACAGATACACAGTCTAGTGGCACACGAAACAAAGATACACGGTCTAGTAGCACATGAAACAAAGATACACAGGCACATCAGACACACAGACTACTGGTACAACAGACACACTGACTACAGAAAAACAGACACAGATTCTTCTGGTACATCAGACACACTGACTACTGGTACAACAGGCACACAGACTACTGGTACATCAGACACACTGACTACTGGTACAACAGACACACAGTCTACTGGAACATCAGACACACAGACTAATGGTACATCAGACACACAGACTACTGGTACAACAGACACACAGACTACTGGTACAACAGACACACAGACTACTGGTACAACAGACACACTGACTACTGGTACAACAGACACACTGACTACTGGTACAACAGACACACAGACTACTGGTACAACAGACACACAGACTACTGGTACAACAGACACACTGACTACAGGCACATCAGACACACAGTCTACTGGTACAACAGACACACAGACTACTGGTACAACAGACACACTGACTACTGGTACAACAGACACACTGACTACTGGTACAACAGAAACACAGACTACTGGTACATCAGACACACAGACTATAGGTACAACAGACACACAGACTACTGGTACATCAGACACACTGACTACAGGTACAACAGACACACTGACTACTGGTACAAAAGACACACAGTCTACTGGTACAACAGACACACTGACTACTGGTACACTGACTACTGGTACAAAAGACACACAGACTACTGGTACAACAGACACACAGACTACTGGTACAACAGACACACAGACTACTGGTACAACAGACACACTGACTACTGGTACAACAGACACACTGACTACTGGTACAACAGAAACACAGACTACTGGTACATCAGACACACAGACTACTGGTACATCAGACACACTGACTACTGGTACAACAGACACACAGACTACTGGTACAACAGACACACTGACTACAGGTACATCAGACACACAGTCTGCTGGTACAACAGACACACAGACTACTGGTACAACAGACACACAGACTACAGGTACATCAGACACACAATCTACTGGTACAACAGACACACTGACTACAGGTACATCAGACACACAGTCTACTGGTACAACAGACACACAGACTACAGGTACAACAGACACACAGACTACTGGTACATCAGACACACTGACTACAGGTACAACAGACACACTGACTACTGGTACAAAAGACACACAGACTACTGGTACAACAGACACACTGACTACTGGTACACTGACTACTGGTACAAAAGACACACAGACTACTGGTACAACAGACACACTGACTACTGGTACAACAGACACACTGACTACTGGTACAACAGACACACAATCTACTGGGACAACAGACACACTGACTACTGGTACAACAGACACACAGACTACTGGTACAACAGACACACTGACTACTGGTACAACAGACACACTGACTACTGGTACAACAGACACACAGTCTACTGGTACATCAGACACACAGACTACTGGTACAACAGACACACAGACTACTGGTACAACAGACACACAGACTACTGGTACAACAGACACACTGACTACTGGTACAACAGACACACTGACTACTGGTACAACAGAAACACAGACTACTGGTACATCAGACACACAGACTACTGGTACATCAGACACACTGACTACTGGTACAACAGACACACAGACTACTGGTACAACAGACACACTGACTACAGGTACATCAGACACACAGTCTGCTGGTACAACAGACACACAGACTACTGGTACAACAGACACACAGACTACAGGTACATCAGACACACAATCTACTGGTACAACAGACACACTGACTACAGGTACATCAGACACACAGTCTACTGGTACAACAGACACACAGACTACAGGTACAACAGACACACAGACTACTGGTACATCAGACACACTGACTACAGGTACAACAGACACACTGACTACTGGTACAAAAGACACACAGACTACTGGTACAACAGACACACTGACTACTGGTACACTGACTACTGGTACAAAAGACACACAGACTACTGGTACAACAGACACACTGACTACTGGTACAACAGACACACTGACTACTGGTACAACAGACACACAATCTACTGGGACAACAGACACACTGACTACTGGTACAACAGACACACAGACTACTGGTACAACAGACACACTGACTACTGGTACAACAGACACACTGACTACTGGTACAACAGACACACAGTCTACTGGTACATCAGACACACAGACTACTGGTACAACAGACACACTGACTACTGGTACAACAGACACACAGACTACTGGTACAACAGACACACAGACTACTGGTACATCAGACACACTGACTACAGGTACAACAGACACACTGACTACTGGTACAAAAGACACACAGACTACTGGTACAACAGACACACTGACTACTGGTACACTGACTACTGGTACAAAAGACACACTGACTACTGGTACAACAGACACACTGACTACTGGTACAACAGACACACAATCTACTGGGACAACAGACACACTGACTACTGGTACAACAGACACACCGACTACTGGTACAACAGACACACAGACTACTGGTACATCAGACACACAGACTACTGGTACATCAGACACACATTCTACTGGTACATCAAACACATGGACACACAATCTACTGGTACATCAGACACACATTCTACTGGTACATCAAACACATGGACACACAATCTACTGGTACATCAGACACACAATCTACTGGTACATCAGACACACAGACTACAGGTACAACAGACACACAGCCTACTGGTACAACAGACACAGTCTACTGGTACATCAGACACACAGACTACTGGTACAACAGACACACAGACTACTGGTACATCAGACACACGCTCTGACAACACGAGGAGAATACACACAGAAGATGATGTGATACCAAAGTGGGGCTAAAATCAAATTCATTTCTATTTCTGACAATATATATATATATATATATATATATATAAGATGAGACATTGCTATAGGCTGAGTTGCCTACCTCAAGGTTCTTGTCTGCCCTCTCCAGCTGGTTGTGGCTCACATCAAACACCTCCAAAGATGGCAGTAATCTCTGAAATTAGGACGGGAACCTCCCATTTGTTAGACAGCCAGTTGTCAGACAGGGTAAAACAACAAAAGTTCCAGATAGATGCACAGCTCAGTAGCCACCTGTTACCTTAGATAGGTAATGGAACAACCCACAGAGAGACATACACATTGTGTACCCATGTGGAGAATCGAACCCGGGTCTTCGGTGTGACGAGCAAACGCTTAACCACTATGCTACCACATTAAAAGAGAGAGAGAGAAAAAATTAGCTTCTGTTATGTACACAAATGTGTTAGGTCCCCATCAATTTCTGGCAAGCTGTCCTTTCACTAGAGCAATCCACCTAGGACTGTCCCACTATAGCCAGTATACTCCTGACACCCTTTACAATACAGCTTGGTAGGAGATTGCAAATTCAAACTTTCCTAAGTTAGGATGAAAATTAATGTTGTGGATTCTATCATTAGGACATCAGTGAAGGTACACACTGGCTGCTACTGAACTGCATGTTAAAACTAAAACAAGACAATCGTTGTACCAACTTACAAGTGATCCGTCCAAACTCTGAATGCCATTGAAGCTGAGAGAGGCGGACTTGAGTTGCGGCCAGGACATTGGAGCACTCATATCTCCACCACACGTCTCGAACAGGTCCTGATGCATCACAACATTCCAGTCAATAAACAGCAAATACAAATGGCTCGCAAACATTGCATAACACAGAAACATTCCATGGAAGAAAAAGGTAAGTATTTAAGATATTTCAACATTAACAAAGATCAAACTTTACAAAGAAATCTATCTTCCATCATGGTTCCCCAGGGTCATCTTTCTGTATTGAACTAACACTACAACTAACACTACCACTGCCATTAACACTAATGCTACTAATACTACTACTAACACTGCCACTAACACTAGCACTGACGTTGACACTAATGCTACTACTATCACTGCCACTAACACTGACACTAACACTAATGCTATTACTAACACTGCCACTAACACTACAACTAACATGACAACTAACACTGCCTCTAACACTGACACTAACACTGACACTAACACTAACACTGCCACCAACATTGACACTGCCACCTACACTATCACTACCACTGCCACTAACACTAACACTACCACTAACGCTAACACTGCCACTAACACTGCCACTAACACTACCACTTACACTGCTGCTAACCCTGCCACTAACACTGCCAGTACCACTGACACTACCACTGACACTACCACTAACACTGTCACTAACACTGTCACTAACACTGCCACTAACACTGCCACTAATGCTAACACTGCCACTAACACTGCCACTACCACTAACACTACCACTAACACTGCCACTAATGCTAACACTGCCACTAACACTGCCACTGCCACTACCACTAACACTGCCACTAACACTGCCACTAATGCTAACACTGTCACTAACACTGTCACTAACACTGTCACTAACACTGCCACTAACACTGCCACTTATGCTAACACTGCCACTAACACTACCACTAACACTGCCACTAACACTGCCACTAACACTACTACTAACACTGCCACTAACACTACCACTTACACTACCACTAACACTACCACTAATGCTAACACTGCCACTAACACTGTCACTAACACTGCCACTAACACTACCACTAACACTGTCACTAACACTGTCACTAACACTGCCACTAACACTACCACTCACACTACCACTTACACTGTCACTAACACTTACACTGCCACTAACACTACCACTCACACTGCCACTACCACTAACACTGTCACTAACACTGTCACTAACACTACCTCTAACACTGCCACTAACACTAACCACTAACACTGTCACTAACACTGTCACTAACACTACCTCTAACACTGCCACTGACACTAACCTGCAGGTGCATGAGACTGCGGGACACGATGACGGTGTGCAGCTGCCCTCTCAGTATCTGCAGGCCCTCAATCATGTGAATGGGGACTTTCTTCACCTCCAAGAAAGTCAAGCTGCGGAACCGTTGTATCTGAATTGCACCCTGCATGGTGTTCGAGCCATGCATCAGCTGGAATTGTAAATTGTATAATTATATACTTATCCTATCCCTAACTATGCATTTCTCCTACTTCTTCAATCCTGGAGTCATTATGTCCTAGAGCAAAGTTTGCAGCTGAAAAAAACACCTTACCCCAACACATCCCATACATCACTATAGCCACCACTCTAAACCATGGGTCACGCACACAGCATCACAGTGCGATGCAGATCCTTGTGATCCGATCACCCTCATTCTCTTTCTAGAGCATACAGGATGGTGTAACTGTGAAGCGGGGATGGTTGGGTGGGCACTTAGCTTGTGAGGTAGGATTTTAAGTACATAAATATACAAATTATTATTGTACAATTTTCAAATTTTAAACTTATATTATCTGACACTTTGCATTTATCCCACAGTTGGATGGTTATGTGCAGCTACCCTAGCCTGTAGTAGGACCTTAACCCTGAGGCATACATGAGGAAGCTGATGCTAAACCATGATTAATCCAAGGATTGCCCCCAACCTTTGGTGTAGCATAAGGAACGAGTAAAGGTTTCTCTGAAAACCCTCATTGTGCCACTAAAACAAATACAGCATGACTTCAGGTAATTCATGTGTACTGTCGTTTTAAACAGGACACCAATATAAGGAATGACCGTGCAACTTTGCGCTAGGCAAAGCCTATTCAGCCACGACTATTAACCTCACCAAGAGGAGGTGTTCTGTTTCAAATTCCTCTTCTCCAGCATGTAGGTTTTCCAAGACAAACCCCATACATATGATCCATTGGACTTAAGGTAGATGAGCTTGGCCCCTTTTTTTATGCTATCAATGATGATTGCAGGGATTGCCTACGCTTTGAACGAGAAGAGGAAACGATTGACAATACAGTTACCTGTCTTGACATGGTCCCCAAGTCTAGTGCTAAGCTACTTTGTTAACAATGTTTATTGAGGTATATGTGGTATATGTCATTGTTTCCGACATCTGTTTTGTTAACAATGTTTATTGAGGTACACGTGGTATATGTCATTGTTTCCGACATCTGTTTTGTTAACAATGTTTATTGAGGTATATGTGGTATATGTCATTGTTTCTGACATCTGTTTTGTTAACAATGTTTATTGAGGTACATGTGGTATATGTCATTGTTTCCGACATCTGTTTGTTTAATAATGTTTATTGAGGTATATGTGGTATATGTAATTATTTCCAACATCTGTTTTGGTAACAATGTTTATTGAGGTATATGTGGTATATGTCATTGTTTCCGACATCTGTTTTGTTCACAATGTTTATTGATGTATATGTGGTATATGTCATTGTTTCTGACATCTGTTTTGTTCACAATGTTTATTGATGTACATGTGGTATATGTCATTGTTTCCGACATCTGTTTTCTTAACAATGTTCTTTGAGGTATATGTGGTATATGTCATTGTTTCCGACATCTGTTTTGTAAACAATGTTTATTGAGGTATATGTGGTATATGTCATTGTTTCCGACATCTGCAGCGAGACTGGCAAATCCCAAAAAATATGTTTCTATGTTAATGCAAGCAAGGGACCCTCCCAATATTTCTACACCATGTTTACAAGCATTAGAAGCAACACAATGTTCCGCAAGCTGAGAATCCTCAAGCATGCGGTTCACAAAGGAAATATTTCAAAAGAAAATGATGTTCATCTGTTAACAAAGTCAACAAACTGATAATCAGTATGATTCAAAAATGGTTTTCAGTGAAGATAAAACTCTTCAACAGATCTGTTCAATATCATGCTTATCAACATATCCGGTATTTGTTTAATAATAAAACATGATAAACTCACTTTGATGGCCACAGTTTTAGATATAAAATCACGGAGGAATTCCACATCCTTTTTCCAGGCAGCAGCCTGCCTGTTGATCTTGTTGAATGTTGCTGCTGATGCTGCTAGCCCCATACTCTCCGTGTCACTCAGCCGACGCATAGACGTTCCCAGCATTCCCAAACTTTGTGTCGTGAGGGACAACTTCCCCTCACCTTGCAAAATCTTGTCTCCTGGAAAATAGTATGTGGCATGGACAGTGTTCCTACGTACTTAAATAATTAAATCAATATGTGGTTTCATCAGTTCAGCTCTGTTCATAATAAATTAAGCAATAAAACTGATTACAGTCTCTATTAAGGTTACTAACAAGAAACATATTTGGGGGGATTGGGGAACCAACAGGTATGATATAATCATATTTTTCATTTTATTACATCATGTCACACACATATCTCAAACACACACACATCTCAAACACATAACTAGCAATGATCTGGCATAGCATCATTGTCAAACACTGAGCTTGTATTAGTAAGACCGGTTAAGATGGACATAAACTACAAGAGGGAGTAGTTTGTGGTAAAATAAAACACTTCAGGGAAAACACAGGGGGATGCAGCCCTGAGTGGTTAATTCTTCTTTCAGGCGAGTCTTTCTTATATGATATATCAACATTATTTACAGCCTCTTTAAAGGGGCACTAATCTCTGGCTTCTTCTCGGTTGTCTTACACTGCCTGCTGGGGCCCACTAGCTGCCGTGGGCCGATTTGCAGAAGCTCATCGGATGTCGTTATTTGTAAATACCCTTGATGGTTTTAGTTTAATAGTAAAAAAGAGTAACCCTGCAGTGAAAGCATTTTCGGATTTCAGATTGCGTGGATAAAATGATTGCTATCTCTTGTTGTTGTCCATGTTTTCTGGTATTACCCTACACCTGTGTATTTGTCGTCATTTCCTTGAAGCTCAGTTAATGAATTTATTACAGGCATAATTAGTGGTAGCACCACTCAGATTACTTGACAAGGGTTCCCATTTGGCATTTATTGTGTCTGTGGTAATTATTCAATCTAAATCCATGTTTGAAGTGAGGTGACTGTGAAATGTGTGTTATGTAATATGGTCGAGACAGCCCAGCAAGAGGAGTGATCAGTTTACTATTTTGTAAATCAACTGATCATTCCTCGCCATCAAAGGATCAACAGAAAATATGTTGAATGAATAATGACCGTTATCTTGCACAGAGAATTTGTCAAAAGCAAGTGTTTACATGTGTAGGTATACTAAAGCAGATGGAATTCACCCATATCTGGACGTGAAGTGCCGACGTAAAAACAACATACTTTGTTCAAAGGATTAGCTGATAATATGTTGATTGATTTTCATTGTTATCTAACTCTATGTTTTTTTAAAGAACTTTGGACATTATGAAAATTACTGGCTTACTCAGCTGACCTTGACAACTATGTGAAACACCTGAAACAAACTAAGCGATCAGTTGAGAAACGAACACGGGTTATAATATCCTGGAACACTATATAAATTTTTAAATATTTGATTGTTACCGAGACACGTGACATCGAATAGGTTTATTTGTACAACTGCAGACGTATGGGATATTGTTCCTTTATGTGGATATTCACAGATACATTCCTCTAACAATTTATACATATAACTTGGGTGGATTGTAATTATGATATTAGCATTTTGTTTTCATTCATTTGCTGTTGCATTGAATAGAATCATTCTTGTCCCTCTACGTTTTCTTTGGGAAGTTCTTCAATGCAAGACAGATGTTGTTTTCACAAGCCTTTTTGTTTGTAGGCGTGTATATTTAACAGTCAATGTGTAAATTGTGATTCACTCAGGCAAATTATAAAATGTCTAAATATTTCAGCAATTTATAAACTGACGAAACATCTGTCCATTTATTGAATAGATTGACTAACAATTATTAAGAGGTTCAAAAGGGCATAAAAAATCACAATTGACTAATTATGCTAGGATTAGGAGCCAATACTATAGAAATATACTTTGAATTTGGTTTTCTTTTAATCCCATCACTTTCAGTCACTGGGTGATGAAATTAAAGCATAAAAATGTTGTGTAAAATAACTGAATATTTAGGCGTTTAATAAATTGCCTTAGTGAAGATGTTACACATTTTGACTATATAATATAAACACGATAAAATAAGCAATGCTCAGGGGAAATATTTACTTTGTGTTGCAAGTCAAAATAATGTCAACGAAAATCGCGCAATAGACTTATCAAAACTTTGTCAGAATTACCGATGTAAATATACCTACATTTCCTTATTATTTTCAAGACAACTGTTTTTCAGCTTCTTGATCAATGTGACTATAGGCCCTTGCACTATCAATAAAACAGACAAATGCGCTTACTAATGTTGCAGCACAGGTCGCGAACTAGTCAAGATTTCTGCTATATCATCCGGGTACTCACGGGGAAAAAACAATAACAAAGGCAACAACCAGTCCCAGGGAATTGCTGTAGATCCATGCCCCTTATAGGATGTTAACAAAACTTACAAACTTTAAACATATTTACGTCTACTTAAATATTGATGACTCCCTGAATACAATTCTATCTCGGCAATGTCAAACAAGTCCATCACGTCACGAAAACTCACCATTCTTTCTCAGCAGCTGACACAAGCTTGATAATACATCCCTCTCTCTCTCTTCTTCTGAAACTGGTACCTTCCTTCTCCTCATCATCCTCGTCCATCTGCTCACAGGAAAACACACACCATGAAAACCTAAGGCCACAAACATATTTGTTTAATGAATGTCGTGCAACGAACATGGTCATTTTAAAAATTGAACATTCAACAAACTCTTGAAGATCTACAACAAACACATAAAAGGACTGTTTGTGAATTTAAACTGATTAAACCAGGGTTCTTAGGGTTTTGTTTGGAGAATGTTTGAAAAGGAAGACAATTGTGCAGCTATAATAATTATAGTGGTAACGGGTACCTTAAGATGATGGATGAGAAATTCCCCATTCATTTCTACTATTGTTTGGGACATTGTGTTACCACGATTGTCATTATTGGTGCTTCTTATGTCATTATCACACTTAAGCAATATTGCCATCATCAACGTTCGCACAGAAAAGGAGGTGGGATTCAATCCAAGCACACAAATAAGTTATCAAATGTGTAGTGGTCTTTTGGGTAATACCATGAATACTGTCTATACTTATTCAAAACAAATTGTTAATGTAACCTTTTGGTAACTATCTACAGTGATGCTACATTCTCATTGGTCTGCAAAATCTATGCTAGACAAGAACAAACAAGATTTCTTTGCTTTCTCAAACCAGACAGGCAGGCAACAATCTCATAAAAATCAGATCTTAGTTCTCGCTACCGCTAAACAAAGATCTGAGGACATCCCATTATGGGTCACGTCAGACCCACCTTGCGCGAACTTTGACCGACCAATGGAATGACCAATCAGAAGGCACCTATCTCGTGCTTTACAGCACTAATTTCAAATTGGCGACTACGCTTCGAAACATATCTTGACAAATTCTCGATTACAAATTTGAAACCTAAACAAAAAAACATTCTGGAATGGCTAATAGATGGTCTAGGTCGTTAAACCTGTAACTATCGTTCGGAAGACCCCGTGTTAAAGTTTTCGAGGTTGTATGATTAGAAATCACATTCCGACTGTCGCTTTCATGATCTGGTAAGCGACGCTCTGACTGGTCGGATAAAAGGTCGTTCTGACATGCCCCCTAATGGGATGTCTTCAGATGTTTGTTTAGCGATAGCGAGGACTCAGGTCTGATTTTAATGAGACTGGGCAGGCAATTTCAAATATTTAGCAAAACACAGCATCATAGTTCTTTGAAAATACTATTAAAAAATACCTGATCAACAATTGATGATCTAAGGAGTATATTGTAAAATTCCTGATCAACACAGCCAGACATTTGATGTTACTCTAAATACTGGGACCCTATCATGTCTACTGCAGCACCAGGCTGGGACTTTCTGCCAGAACATAACTATCATGATGATATTATAGCATGTTATAGTGAAGTGTATTTTAGAATCAAATGATGCCAAAGTCACCTCATTTTCTCTAGGGAGAGTGATATCTTAGATTACTGTCCCATGTTAAAGTTATTTTAAATGTTACAGTTAAAATTATACTGGGTTTGAAAGAAACATAAGTGTGCTGGTCTGGGACATATCACTACCATTTTTACCAACAGAGATATTTTTGTGCCAGCTAGTGACCAAACTATGGCTAAAAACATTCATCACTGACCGGTGAATTCGACCATTCAACCAATTGAATACATTAGGCAAGATGCTTCATCAATTTCACAATACACTGATATTATTTATCACAAAAGTCCTGTTGACAAGGTAAAATGACTTGCACAGTAAGGTTTACCACTCGATTCGAAGACCGCAACCCTCTGAATCTCCTACCTACCGCTCACCCACACTATTCCCAAATAATTTTCAGTAATCACACTAAATACTGGTTGTGGCTTTGGGGAAATCGGCGTGCAACCTGTGTGGCTGTTGTCAAGTTTGTCTTATGTCATTTAGAAAAGTAGAGGTTCTGGAAACGCCGATGGTCATGGTGATCAAAACTGCAGCCCATCGTATTCCACATAACAAAAATATTTTACGAAGGGTGGGAGAATTTTAAAATCTATTTACACGTTATCATCTGCTACATAATGGAAAAGACATCAACCAATTCTTCACGTAAACATTGCATGTGACTGAACCGGAAGTAGAAAAGTTGTCCGGAAATAGAGTTCTGTTATTTACAATTACTTATCTCCACTAAAACAGATTTAGACAATTTTATATTTAATTTAACTTAATTTAAGTTTACCTGATGGAAATGAGATCATACTAAAACAAATAGGTGTGTTATTTTCGTCTCGATCACAAATTGACTGGGCTCCTGTCTACCTAAACGAATAGGCTAAAAGCGATGACCTTGCGTCATATGTACCAACAGTGGAACCAGTTTATAATCACCAAGGTCAATGACGCAATAAGAAAGGTCAGTCAGTCAGTTACCCACACTTCCGGTCACGTCCGAATGTCAAACTGAGAGCGTGTTACGAAAGGATCCTGGAGGTCTCTACGTTTTCGATTCACCTACATCTTGAGTTTCCCTAATATTTCGTAAGTTTGAATATAATTTGTGTTCATGTTAACTTAAAAATGTAAATGCTGAGAAAGTGTAATGTAATGTGTGTAAAATTTGAGGGTCGCCAAAGTAAAATTAAAAAAACTCACAAAAGCAGAGTACATGCAGTTTTTATCACATAGAATGTATCCACAAGACAAGAACTGTTGATTTGAAGTCAATGATCAGAGTTTGATTACCGATCCGTTGGATCCAGTCGAGTCAATATTCTCAAGGACCAGTGGACAATTAATCCTGCACCATGACTGGAATTTATTTTTTTAGGTATTTTTATTTTACTAAAAGCCTAGGCAAGACTAGATCAAACTAACCACGTCTAGTTTGCTTGATTCCACACAGCAGAAGAGGTAAGGCTCTTTCGAATTTTTTGAATTTTTTTATTTTAAAGACATGTTTTCATTGACTAAGTTAGTAAGTATGAGTCTAGTGGACAATATAAGATGGTAATCTTGTGTCTTCTGCACATGATATTAATAAAGCTGTGAAGTCTAAGTAAAATTAAATATTCAATAGTCTCAGCACCACAAACACGTCACAATACTTAATGATGTTATGTTTGTTTGTTTGTTGTTTAATGCCACACTCAGCAATATTCCAGCTATATGACGGCGGTCTGTAAATAATCGAAACTGGACCAGACAATCCAGTGATTGAGATCATGAACATCGATCCATGCAATTGGGATCGATGACATGCATCAACCAAGTCAGCGAGCCTGACCACCCGATCCCGTTAGTCGCCTTTTATGACAAGCATAGTCGCCTTTTACGGTAAGCATGGGTTGCTGAAGACCTATTCTACCCTACTATTCTATTCTACTTAATAACGTAATTTGTAAACAATACCTAGGAACAGATTTGCTGGTGTCATCAAGTGTACATCATTGTACATAAGCTCCTCTCCATGTTACATCATCTCTACACGCATATGCTGCGACAGCGCATATTTCAGCAAGATCTACTTTATGAAAGCACTATCATTTTCAGTACATTTTATGTTTCGGTTTCAACGTAATTTAAGAGGGTAAAAGGATTAGAAGTAGGAACTAATATACATATTTTATTTTTTCGATTCAGTGATTTTAATTATTGTGCACAAGGAATGCAGTTTATAAGGTATAAATTGACGCTGCACACATAGTCGCCAGCCTGAAGACTATCTACCATTGGACATCTTTTACAGTAAATCAATTAGGTTTGTAGGCTCTGGTTTTGTAAAAAAAATGACACGTAAGGGATGTGCTAGGGCATCTTCCCAAGGCAAGAGTGTTAACTGACTATAAAAGTCTGGTTTCCACCCTTGCCGAACTAGGCTGGAACTACTGGGCTCAATCATAGCGCCACCAGTGGCTATTACCAGTTTTGTCCCTTCTAAGCCTCTCCTATGGACCAATCAGATTCCACCTCTCGTATCACTTGCGTTTGCTTCACACAAAATGGTGGCGCCCAGTCAAAACGATCTGACGATAATCAAGATGTTTATTGTGATAAAACGGATCTTACATCGCGAAATGCATCAAATCACGTGAGCACCTTGATTTAAAACATGAAAAGATTTGGAAAATATCTGCTGACAACGAGTTGGCGGTGCACATGCTTTGCAAATCCTGCAATCGACCGAAATCTGCACGAACCGGATTTCGATTTTGGTGCGCGAATTTGATTGGACTATGCATAGACTCGTTAGTCCAGCCAAAATGTAACTCCATAATACCAGCCTAGTATTGCAAGGGTGGAAACTGGACTTTTATAGTCAGTTAGCTCTCTTGCCTCTGGAAGATGGTGCTAGGGGTGTAAGTGCCCTGTAGTTGTACCCCCTTCTCATGCATTTAAATGATGGGAGCTGAAGTGTCCCTATTCTTTACTGTGAGCAACATTATCCTTACAGAGTTACCCCCACACACTTACACGTCAGAAAATCGCCGGACAAATTATTAAATACCATGTCATTCATGTGTACTCAAGAATTCGATGTCTGACATGTGACGCTTGGAGCCATTTTCTGTTTGCGCCCTTTCAGCTCATTTCTCACCAATCAGTGTCTTGTTGATTACAGAATGGGCCAGATGTGCCAAATGGTATCGTAAGTGTCTGTAGACCATGGTAGACGAAAGTCACAAAACACCATGCCTAGCTGTTACCTTTGTAGGTGTCTGATCTATTTGACCCTTTCCGTTCATTCCCACAATGTCTTACATTTTGTCTAAGGCATGACTAGATAAATAGGTAAACAGTGTTGATGTAGCTCAGTCAGTTAGCTGTCAGGCTAACAATCTGACAGATTCTCACAAGAACTGGTTGCTTGTCTTTGTGACATGTGACCTACGGCAGAGATCGTACTCATGAGAGAAGATTTGCTGCTGTATTCTAAAAGTGCTCCAAATCATGATTATACGTATCATGCGCATCAGTCCATCGTCACTTTCACTCCCTAAGTTATGTTGATTTTCTACCATGAGCATGATTTGTACACCAGTACTTGTGTTACCATGGTTACTGTCATTGGTCATTAGCAGGGTGGAGTCTTGACATCCTTGTCAGATGGTGTAGGGAAGTAGCGCAAACATTGCTGACTGCTGCAGTGTCTGAAATAGCTGCCTGCCCGCTTTCCTGTGTCTGGTAACCTTTCTGTCGGGATTGGTGAAATTTATTCCCACCTGCCCAACGGTCTAGTTGAAATTTCATTACCACACTGAAAGCTTTGACCCACTTACTAGAGAGAGGGAGAGCTTCCTATGTGATTATTAAAATGTGAATGTCAAAGGCACAGAGCAAATCTGAAGAAAAAAATATCAACTACCCTAGCATGAATTTACAATTGCGGACCTGCAACTTTCGTTACGGGCTTGTTACATTTATAGGTCACCAGTGTGTTTGGCTTGTTGGGAGTGAAATTTATTTCAGAGTGTGAACCCTAATGTTAGAGAAGATTCTCATCGAATCCTACTATTCCACTGATAGACAAGGTTGTTGTCATTGAAGCTGTGGCATACCGGCTGTCCACAGACTTTGTGCATGAAGCTTTAGTCGTTGAGAACTTTGTCTATCCAAATGTTTGATGTTATTTTGTTCTCATCATTTCTCTCTCTCTCTGTTGCAGGTAAATGCCAGATATGTCGTCAGAAACAAAACGTGTAGATCCTCCACAGTGGGAAGATTCTGTGAGTGCAGAATCAAAACTGTGGCGAAAAGCAAAAGAAGCACCATTTGTGCCAATAGGTTGGTGAAGATTGTTTACATGGCCATAATAATGAATTATTACGTTATTCATCTCATTACCAAGCATCCTGTCTCAAATAATTATGCTCTCCCCCAAAAGTACCTTCAGACAAAGAAAATAGCTGTGTGTTACTTTCTGTCTTTACTTATTGAAACATGACATATGCCGTATACCAAATATTCATGCTTAATGCCAACAGTTAATGTACAATAGAGATGAACAGTTTGTATGAAAAAATTGAAAAGATAAATCAAATAACATGCCTCCCACCTCACATTTTTTTATAAAGTTGGACGAATGTGTAATAGTTTGTAGTGGCCTATTGTTTTTGATATCCTATCTTCTGTTGTGTATTTATAGTATCAGCAGTCACTATTTCCTGAAACAAGTCATGTGGTTAGGCATGTCACTGCATGATCGTGTCAACTTCCCATACTGGGACAAGCCAGTTTTCTGACAGTTTGTAATGACAAAATATTGAAACAGAAAACTGAGAGTTAAGGGAGCTTATGTTATGGCCTGTTAGTCGGGCGTGTAGCATCTGTGAAAAACCTCTAAATTACTACTAGTGGCTACAATATTTCTTCACACATGCATCATATTGACATTATAGCGCATAGGTCCTTATAACGAATTACCAAGTGAGCAACAGTGTCGATGGCACCTTTTCTGGTATGTGTGTAAGATATAGAGGGATATATGTGACAAATGTGACTCAGTCTGATGATATGAGAGTTATTTTGGCATAAATGTTCTTTCACAACATTTGATTCACTTCTAGGAATCCTTGGTCTTCTGGGTGCTGTCACATACGGAGCAGTGATGTACAAGAGACGGGGACAGATGTCCACATCGGTGTACCTCATGCAGTTTCGTGTCATCTCTCAAGGCATGGTGGTGGGAGCCATCACGCTAGGCATTGGAGCAACTGTTGTGCCAGGTCTATGGAAGAAGTACGTCACAGGGTCCACGAGTGGAGGGAAGAGTTGATGCCTGATGAAATCCAAGGATTGTTAAATCAAAATATGATTATACGGTAGAAATGAGAGATACCGCTAATTTATTTTGAAGAATCCATATTGAAATACTAAGGTATATCACTAAGGTATATCATATGAACAAGAAAAGATGTTTCATGAGTCTGGATGAACCATGCTTTGATCTACAACAAGTGAAGAGCACCAGCATCTGCTGGGAAACTCCAGGAGCATTCTATGAGTGACAATTTAATTAAATAAACGTAATTAGGGAATTCAACCTAAGAATGAGTCGTAATGAACCCAGGGAAGTATGATGCTGTTCATGTATCAGATATATTTTGTTGGTGTTTTTGTTGTGTTTTTCCTTTTGCATTCTACATTTGTACATGTGTGAAAACTCATATTGCTGACTATACATTGTATTACATGGGAACCCGAGTATTCATTGTTTCTCTCATGTTTGTTGTAACTGAGCAACTGCCAAAGACGGAAGGTGGTGCATTGGAGTCAGGATATATAAGCAGCCAATCAATGGCCATCGGCTCACGTGGCCAGCACGTATGAACATAACTGTAACCACAGACTCTTTTGGTACCAAGTAAAGTTTCAACAGGATCATTTCTGCAGTTTGATTTGTCTTTCTGACTGGAGTCCACTTGTGTTACTTCCTGCAGGGTTCAAGGTTGATATGGCGGTAGTTGCCATGGTGATCAGCAAGAATTTTGCATCATTTGGAATGATTTCTTGGAAGATATGGAATATTTTGATTTCAGCGTTCCGCTTCATGAAACTCGGGTCAATGATGTGAAATAATGTTTCATTATTTGGCATGTTAGAATAGGCTTTTATTTTACCTGATCTTTTCACTTTTGAAGTTTTTGTTCAGTATATTCATGAGTATTAAATCTCTAGCCTAAAGTAAACGTGTAATCATCTTTTGAATTTGTTTTTTGTACTCATTTGGTACAATAGCATAATACATCATCCATCTCTTGTATATATCCAAAGTTGTTTAGTTGTTTAGTTGTTTATGGCTTTGATGGCTTATGTTTCTGAACATAATGTATAGATTTATTGATTTAGATAAAAGAAAATGATTAAAATAAGTGTTTCAGCTGATTAATTTGAAATGTCACAAAAGTAGAGTCCAGTAATCATGGTAATAGTCCAAGGAATTAGTATCTATTGGTCCAACACTGATTATCATAGTTGTGACTTGATACTAATAGTAAAGTAATACTAGTCATATTCAGTTTTGTGGACTATGGTAATTTTATTGTGTTATTCTGAGCAAAAACATTCTTCTAAAAATGTTTGATCTCCAGGTCTATTACCTCGCTTTCCCTCAGATACCAAAGTCCACTTATTTCGTAAAAAGGGTATCTAACGATAATGAGTGTAGTATTCTCTGTGTATGACCCACCTGGCGTCTAGTTTGACAATCGTGCAATATGGACAAAGCATGGTTTTAGCCTTTCTATAAGAATATACTGTTTTGGGATGTCACGATACACCAATACATCGGTGTATGGATATTATCCTCAGAAGATACAATACACGATACACACTTACCTGTATCAATTCATATTTTCATCCTGTATCAATTCATATTTTAATATCAACTTGTTTCACACCTCTACCCATTCATTCATATTTAATTTATTTAATTTCGGGGGCATACCTAAGGTATTTCACAGACAAAAAAATACTTATGTGACACTCCAGTTTTATTTAAAATAGAGTATTGATTGAATCAGACATACTGTATTGGAAGTAATAAGCGCCTAGGGCACTCTCAAAATTAGAAATAGGGGGCTCTTATTAGAATATTATTTTCGTGGAAGAAAGAGAGTTGAAAGATAAATTTCATGGTTTATGCTGACAACCTGAAATGTTTATATATGACAGATATATCTTTCAAGAATTTAATTGCCCAAAATGAAGGGTGCATATAACACACGAGTGCGTATTATACGCGAATAAATAAGTCTTTTGTCCACTGATCAATCGGAAGGGATGCTTTTTGGGATTGTTGACTAGCCAATATATTAGCAAATATCTCCGTGGGCGCTTATTACGTCGAATACGGTATATATTTTTATATAGGAGACCAGATGTTCAGAAAGTTTCAAGCTTTTAAACAGTGTTTATGCCCTATGTAATATTAAAGTTAATATAATAATTGCCGTGAATTAAGTATGGCGTACGTATCGTGATCAAGGTATCGCGGCAACCCTAATACTGTTCCTGAAGAATCATAAACAAATCTGTTAAATTATATCTGACGATTGACCCATGTTCTTTACTGTTGTGAACTGTAATGGATGCATGATTCTCGGTTGTCCTAGTATGGCATGTGTTATTATAATACTGAGATTTTCTTCTCAGGATTATCATGCTTATAACTAACCTATCAAAGTGAGAGAATTTTATTGAAATCTTTTATCGTGTATTGTAGAGTGTAAAACATGCTGCATTAGCAAGTTTCATACCCTGTTTTTATTTCATATTCACCTTTTAAAGGGCTATGTCGCTCAGTTGTCTAAAGCGCTGGAATTCACTGTACAGCATAAGGTCCCTCAGGCAAGCTAGGATTTGCTGATAATGGTTTTGATTCCCAATTTCAAGATCATTATGATCATTTGTTTGTCAGTGCTCGACCAGCACTCATGGGTATTTTATCAACTTTTCTTCCAAATAAGGCTGATAGAGGCGTTAAACCCAACTCACTTATTTGTCTTTAATGTCAGATATTTTAGAGGATTTTGATCCAGATTACTCCTCTACTGTTGTGGGACTATCTTGTACTATTTATGATGTGACGTTACCTTTCTTTATCAAGATTTCTACCTAACGACAGGTTGTTTCTGTTTTCTTATCTGAATGCACAAAAGGACAGATTAATATTTTCTTAAAAGTTTATATGTGTTCAGTCATTAGGAAATCTGCGGAACAGTTTTTAGGCGTTTTCTCCTTGACATGCATGATAAGCTTGATGGTTATTAATAATCTCAGGTGTTCATTAATTTGTGTATATTCAACTTTAATAATACTGCTAATTTATTACAGTTTAGATACGACGCATGGGGGGACCACTTGTGTTATTCTGTGATATAAGGGCTGACAGAGTTGTCTCCCTTTGTTGTGATTTATTCAACTGCTGAAGTGTGATATATATATGATGATGCTTTGTGAACTGGAGACTTTCACACAATTGCAAACTGTTTGTCTGGCTTTAAGTAGTAATCTGAATTTCATTTATCATGATGATAAAATGTCCAGAAGTGTTGCCAATAAGACATGATACAGTTTTAAAGTTTGATGCCAGCGACAACACCCCTTCACTTTAGTCAGAGCCCTCCTAAAATTGACCTTCTCCAAACTGACATCTGTTTAATCCAACATTTTGTCTGAACCTATGTGATGGCTGTATCACAATCATTACACATTTATCATTGTGTAAAACTCAAAATCAAATTCTGTATTTCATCTGAAATATATGGATGTCAGTTTTGAGTTACTGTTTTATGGTATATTTTCTTGTTGCTACACATGGCTGGAAGGGGAAGTGGCAGATAAACTGAACTTTATTTGTTGTAATTGATAATGGAGCTATTGATGCTTTGCAAAGTTTAAGGTGGAATAAAAGCAATAGAGTACAGATTTGGGTTTCTTGTTATTTGTTTATGGGATTATGCTTATGAGTATGCTGTTTGTTTGTCATTTGCTGTGATCTTTACCTTTTTGCACATATCTATCTTTATGAAAGTGAATCAGACATCCTCTCATTATTGTGTAGCAGTACATGGCAGTGTAACAGACACATAAAGGGAAGGGGTGGTGGTGGGGAGTTATCTCCCTTCAATTCCCATGTCAGCCGTGTGACGACTTTCTACTCCTACCACAACGTATGGTATTGTAAAGTAAGGCAACTGTCACAGATATGTCCCCAAACATTCCTCAATCTTGTGATATATATTCTATTGTCTGTTGGAAATGTAATGAAACTTTGAAGGGTGTCTAAATGGTATTTATTCGTTCCTAAACTCTGCTAAGCAGGTACATGTATTAGCAATGCTCTTAACTGTAATGACTTCATACCAAGTTAACACAGTTATGGATCTTGTTTATCTCTGTGTACCAAATCTAGCCTTTGCACTGTTATTTTGAATGGACAAGTCTCTTGCCAGGTTGCACGTGCTGGATGAAATGTATACTTTGTGTATATGTTGTTTTCAAAGAACAGAACAGCACTGTGCAATGTTAATAATACCTGTCACCAATTATGTTTTTAAATCAGTGCTAACCCATCACTAAACATTGCAAATATATGTCCCCTTCCTGGTCCCTCAATTGGAGACTTACAATGAAGTCATTCAGAAAATTATATGTTGATAAGATGTTAATAAGGCTTAACATTTAAAAAAAAAAATTAAATCAATTCCAATTGGTTGGCGACATTTCAATTAGCTCAGACTTCCTGATTTTTATATAATTATTACTTGTTCATGGTATTTTAACTAACCTGTGCTTGATGTTTTACAGATCATTAGCAGAATCATCCAGCGTCATCATCAGACATATTGAACCTGATCGCCAAAAATGTACTTATATTTAGGTTTTATAGGTTTATAACATTGGGATGACAAAGAGAGTGTGGTTATAACACCGCTTTTATAACAGAAAAAAACCCGGGGAGACACCAGAAATAGGCCTCACGTTGTATGCATGGGGTGAAATTTGAACCCGGTCGTCGACATGACGAGTGAAGGCATTAACCACTAGGCCACCCCACCACATGTCTGGCATAATCAACATAAAGGGGACCTATAATTGCAAAATAACTCATAATCGGGAATAGTCTATTAAATGTCAATATGGTAAACGGCAAAGAATACCCTGTATCCAACAAAGTTTTGTTTGTTACTTTTATTCACTTCAGTGGAAAAAGTTCTTAAAGAAACTGTCATGTTGTTAGTGTACAAGTTGACATCTTGAACGAAGGGGGCACAACGATAGGAGGAACAGCGCAAACACGCACGTACAACACAAGGGTACAGAGAATGACATCATAAGAGGGGTCGTCTCATGATCATTTTAATCGCAATCTGACTCGCTCATGTCGGACAGCCCTCGTCGTTGGAATTGCTTGTGTCACTGCTGATGGTCACAACTATAGGTGGGAATGGTGCTTGCTGAAGTCCATCACGTGACCAGTATCTTGACTATCTCGTTGATGACTTTGGTAACGCAACGCTGCCATGTCTCCACCGGTACCGCACCGAGGGATTCATTTACTAGCTTTTCAACATCCCGCAATTAAAACGTTGTGTTCAATCGTCAAACGCCACCTTTGACGATACCCCATATCAACTCTATTGGGTTTAGATCGCAGTGGTAAGGGGGAAGTTGTAAGACAGTGTGAACTTGACCTTTGATGTAATTGCCAACCACATGCACGGGATCATGTCTGTCTTATGTCTGGATCCTCTTGTATTGTGAATTGTCCATGATAATAACGTACTTGGCAGGCAAAGCGGGGACCAATTTTTTTCACCCACTCCAGATATTCCTTGCCTTTCATTTCTGTGGTTGTCCCTGTTGTCCTTGGCCTTGGC